AGGAATTTGCCAGACGATCAAGATGGAAAAGGGCATTGCCACTGGATTAAATGTAATGGAATCTGACCTACTACTAAATAACAGATTGTAAACTCAAACAAAACAAAACAAAACAAAACAAGAATCCTGAATTATTTGGAGGGCTTTATACTGGGCCTCACCCCCAGATATAATAGGTCTGGATTTTTGTTGTTAGTGCTGTAGAGTGGATTCTGACTCCTAGTGACCCTGACTACAGCAGAGCGGAACCCTGCCCGGTCTTTTTACACCATCCTCTCACCTTCCAGCACTATATCAGACAACACTCCACTCCTATTCACAGGGTTTTCATGGCCAAGTTTTTCAGAAGTGGGTGGCCAGGTCCTTCTTCCTAGTTGGAAGCTCCACTGATCCCTGTCCACTACGGGGGACCCTGCTGGTATTTGAAATACTGGTGGCATAGCGTTCAGCACCACAGCAACACACAGACAGGTGGTATGGTTCCCTGACTGGGAAAAGAACCTGGACCCTGGCGATGAGAGCTCTGAGTCTTAACCACTACAGCACCAGAGCTGGCAGGGCTGGATTGGGACCCAAGAATTTGCATTTCTAACAAATTCCCAAGTGTATTAGTTATCTATTGCTGCATAACAATTTACCCCACATTTTAGTGACTTAAGACAACACATATTTATTATCTCATAATTTCTGTGGTCCAGGAGTCTGAGATCAGCGGTTCTGCTCAGGATCTCTCACGAGGTTGCAGCGAAGATGTTGATGGAGGCTTCAGTCATATAAAGACTTGGCTGGAGGATCCACTTTCAGGACGGCTCACTCCCATGGCTGTTAGCAGAGGCTTGAGTTCCTCACTAGGCAGACCTCTCTGTAGGGCTGTTTCATGACATGACATCTGAGTTCCCCCTAGAGGGGGCGCTTTGAGAGACAGAGCAAGCAGGAAGCCATAGTACCTTTTGTGACTAGTGTCCAAAGTCTATTCTTCAGAGACAGGTCATTAAATCTAGCTCACATTCAAGGGGAGGAGCTCCACTTCTTAAAACGAAGGAGTACCAAAAAATTGTGGACATTTTAAAAATCAATACACTGGGTGTATTTCTAGGACTGCTTTAAGAAAGTAGCATAAACTGGGTGGCTTAAACAACAGAATTTATTGTCTCACAATTCTGGAGGCTAAGTCCAAGATCAAGGTGTCCGTAGGGCTGGTTTCTTTTGAGGCCTGTGAGGGAGAATTTATGACAGATCTCTTTCTCTGCCTCTGGTAGCCTCAGGTGTTCCATGGTTTGTAGAAGGCCATCTTCTCTCTGTGACGTTGCCTTGTCTTCCTTCTATATGTCTGTCTCTATATCAAAATTTCCTTTTTTTATAAGTACTGTTGTCATATTGGATTAGGACCCACCCTAATGACCTCGGTTTCACCAGATTACCTCTATAAAGACCCTGTTTCCAAATAAGGTCACATTATGAGGTAACCAGGGTAGGACTTCAACATCTTTTGTGGGGGACACAATTCAACCCACAATTCAATCAGGTAATGCTGATGCTTCTGCTGTGGGCACCATGCTTTTGAGAATCACTGGTCTAATCCACCCCCTGGCTACACTGATGAGAAATGGAGGTTTTCCATAAGCTCAACAAACCACCAAGGGTCAAAGAGTGTGTGTGGAGGGCTCAGGTGAGAACTCTGATTTCTTGATCCACATTTAATGCACTTTCCATGAACCACAGTGTTTGGTCATCTTTGACCCAAAGTTCCCTGAAGATCTCAGTTCCCTGTGGAACCCATTAGCCTTTGTGTTTTTTCTAGGTTAAGATTTTTCCATATTGATTCACAAAGCTCTGCAGTTCCAGGGATGCTCTCTAGGAATCCTTTAGAGGGATGTGTGTGTGAATTTTCTGGGGACTACATCATTCAGTATTTAACCTATATATACTGGGTACGAGAAGAGAGAGAGTAGGGGATGAAGAGGAGATTATAAAGGAAAGAGGAGTAAGGAATGAGTTATGAGGAATATAGGAAAAAAAATAACAACTGTACTAATTTACACTCCCACCACAGCCTGCCACATGTTTCAACGTGAGTCAGGATGGCATGAGAGATGAAAATCACCTCTTCCTGTCATATGTATGTATAAAATATTTTTAGAAATTCAATAATAATAATAAAATGAACACCTGCGTGTCCACCAGTCATGTAAAGATAAAGAACGTTGGCAGGAGCATTGACGCCCCTGTGTGTCCTGCTCAGAACATCCTTCTCCCTTCTCTCTGGGATGTTTACTATCCTGGAATTTGTGTGTATTATTCTCTTGCTTTTCTTTATGGTTTTACTACATAGGGATAAACCCTTAAACAATATCTTGCTTAGTTTTGCCTGTTTTTGAACTTCATGTAAATGGAATCATACTATGTATGCATATGTGACTTTCTATTTTTCCCTCCACCTAGTGAAACTCATCCATAGTCATATGTGTAGGTATGATTCATTTGTTGTCATCGCTGTATGGTGCTCTCTTATCCACCAATCTTTCTATCAACAGACAGGTTTTTTTAAAGTTACAAAAAAATTGATGCTATGAACATTCATATACTTGTTTTCTGGTATACTGTACAATAATTTCTGCATGGTATATACCTAGGAAAGTGATTGATAGATTGTAGGGTATAAACATCTTAACTTTAGATCATTGATTAGTTGGTTGATTTCAGGAGGGCTATCCCAATTTCTGGAGGGCTATCCCACGAGCAGCATCTAACAGTTCCTGCTATCTCACATCTCAGCAACATTTGGTGTCGTTAGTCCAACATTTTGACTCTCCTAATGTTTACCTTACAAGCTAACTTTAGAACCAAACCCTCACATTAGATGTGACTCCACTATGTTGGACTTTATGATCCTGGTACATAGGATGCCTAATGCCTCTGACATAACAGATGCTCATTAAATGAGAGAAAAATTAAATGAATCTAAGCTTTAGTTGTTTGGTAAAATTACAGATTTTTGTCATATTTTAAATATTTATCAGCACGTTCCTGATTCCGATCTTTCCTTCCATCTCCAAATTATGTACCCCATGTCAACCTATAGTGGTATATTTGTTCCCAAACTCAAAGGTTACACAGGAAATTTAATGCAGCAGTCCACGTGTTGCCCCTGGAGGTGAGAAATGCTTTACGGTAATCCAGTAAAAGATGGTTAACATGAATTTTAGAGAAAAAAATAAAAGAAAAAACTTTCACAATTACTAACCTTAATTTCAATACTTAGTTCTTATACGCTCCAACATGTCATTTTAAAAAAATGGTATAAATTCTGCTTCTACATACTTATTTGTTTTCTACTTGATTAAATTTCCACAATTAAATTCAAAAAAAATTTTTTTTACTCTGTGTAGGAACTGCTGTTTAAAGACATCTATTTCAATGAGCTATGAAGTCTTGATTCCCAGTGCTAGTTCGTGGAGCTCTGCCAATTTCTGATGAAAGTTTCACTAGCCGAAAAGGTAATAACAAAAAACAGCAGAGTGAGCTTTTCACACAACTAAATGCATTCCGTTTGAAGAACCACTCTTTATTCTGATTGTCATTTCTACCTTTTTAATGTTAAAATGTTTTGTGTTTTAAGAAAGGATGGCGATAAGAGATGGCATTTATTTGCTTGACAACTTTCTATGACTTCAGATTTTTCTCTGTGTATTTGTTTTAATTTTACTGATCCTTCAAGTCTAAATATTTGGAAACGCTTTCAACGAAGTTCAAACCTTTATTTTGTAGAAAGCACCCTGGGAGTTACCGTCAGGAGCACACTGTTGGGGGAAGAGGGAGAATCTCCCTCTGCCCTTTTCCTTAAGGTTCTTATGGCTAGCCAAATAATTAACAAGACAGGAGAAAATAATACCAAGTTTAATAACATGTATACATGAGAGAAACTCAGAAATGAGCAACTCGTCCCTCTGTCTAAGCTGCTTGCTTAAGTATTGCAGCTAAAGGCGAGGAGCGTGTTGTGGGTGGGTAGTGGCCTGGAACTTCAGAGGGCAGGAGGACAATTCTTTTCGGGGTCATCTATAGATAATGTGGTCAGGGAGAGACAGAGTTTTTGATAAAAGAGGCTTGGTGCCTTTGCTATTGTAACCTCCATCCTACATTATCTTTACAGCCATCATGATAGAAGATCTGTTCCAGGAAGGAGCCACCATGTCAAATTCTTTAGGCAGTTAGTGGGGGAGGTCAAATGTCCCTCAGAGAAAACAATCAAGGTAAAGAGATATATTTCAGGGTGGCCAAATCTTGATCTCCCACAACACTCATCTCTATTCAACACTTATTTATTTAGTTGTGATTGGGCTTCAAGTAAAGCTTAGTACTAACACTATGGGGAGTGACGGGTCAAGATGAGTAAGAAGGTTAGTCCTCACCGGTTTCCGATTTAGCCTGCGCATTATCCAGTTAAGAAACAATGTCAGAGTGAGTGCCATGGAACCTAGAAGGGTTTGGCAGTTGCTGGAGGAGGGTGAAGACCCTGAACCCTGAAAAACGTGGCAAGGTAGAGAGGAAGGAAAACCCATGCTAAGAAGGCAGGCAGACAGGAACCGAGGCTTGGAGTGCATTCCTGCGTGCTGGGGAGAGCAGCGTCTGTGTCGGAGCGTGGTGACGACAGAAGGGACGAGGGAGGTGCGGGCGGGCTGCGAAGGTCCCGCGGTTCAGGGAGAACCGGCTCGAGGTGCAGCACTGGGCATGGGAAGGAAGCGCTAGATAAAGAGCCACGTGAAACTGCTACCAAGACGACTTGGAGAGCGACCAAATCCAAGGGCTACAGAAGAGCAAGGAGGCCAACCTGCATGACCCACTGGCCAGTCAACGCACGCCAGGGGTGGAGTCGGACACGCCCCGCGGGCTCGCGCACCCAATCAGCGACGAGACCCCTCGCCCCGCGGGACACGCCCCCTGCCTCAGACTTCCGGCAAGCTCGTCTTCCCGACAGCCTCGGGAACTCGGCGCCCATCGGCGCCTGCGCAGGCCTCAGGTCTCCCGCAGCCAATATGGCGGCTCTCTGTGTGTTCTGCGGCACAGCAGGGTCCTACCGCCTCTTTCTTGGGAGTAGGGTTAGTCTTGCCCGGGGACAAGGCCTCTGGAAAGCCGCGGCTGCTGAGTTGCAGACAGGTACCGGATCCCAGGTAGGCCCGGGAGAAGCGGAAGCGCTGGTCCCTGTAGCGCGAGGATGTGGAGCCGGCGCCGCCACCGCCACCTTCCCCTGGCGTCTCGTGTGCTCTCACACCGGGACCCTGGGGTCTTAGGTATTTAGTAGAGGTCTGAGGTTGAGAGAGGAGGAGTGGGTATTGCTTTGCGGCGGCCACTCTACGTGTTGTTTGTGGTTTGCGCAGCATGCAATGAGGGGGGAAGGTGTCTGCAGATGGAACTACAGCGACCTCCCTTGACTCGGCTGCCAGGCTAAGGGAAGCCTGTGCCGAGGTGTGGTGTCGGTCCAGAGGGGAGGAGAGCCGCGCCGGGGCGGGTGAATGAGAACTGGACTCCTGCAGTGGCCTGGAAGACTTAATGGAGAAAGTCACACAGTGGAGAGGATAAACAGTGAATTTCTAAAAGTGCTTTGCATGTATGCAGTTTCCGTTTTCTTAATTTTCCCAATACTTTGCCTCTGGAGAGATGGAGACCAGAATTTGTACATTTCGTCTAATCCTGAGGGCAATGGGAAGCCAGCTTTACAGCTGGTCGGATGATGATGCCGTTCACTGACATGGGATCTCAGAAGGAGGAACGAGATTTGAGAGGGAAGTTTAGTTTTGGATACAGTTGTATTTATTATGTTATAATTGGGATGTCCAAGTGGAGATTTCCAGTAGGCCCATAGATAGGCAAGTCTGTAGTTCAAGAAGAGAACTGATTTACAAGTAGTCTATTGCCTTGTAGATGGTAATAAGTTAGATCACCTCGGGAGGGTGTGCTGAATCAGGAATAAGCAGAGGTACAGGGCCCTGAAGGACAAACAGTCAAGGAAGAGGACCCCCGAGAGATTGAGAATGAGCTGCCAGAGAACTAGGGGACAAACCAGACAGTGTGGTGTTATGGAAAAAGGGAGAATGTTTCCAGGAGGGAAAGTGATAAACAGTACCAAATATTTTCCAATAAAAAAATAATAAAAAATAATGTTTGATGGATAAATGAATGGATGGATTGGTTGATTTGGGTTAAAATATAAAAGAAATAACATAAAAAAAAGATAGTATTCCTTTTTTCATATAGTTTTAGATTATAATATTTGACTTCTTTACAATATGTTGAAAGTTTTTATTTTTTCATGCATCTCTTTTGAGTATATCCTTCTTGTATACACATAATTATCTATAAAAGGGACTATAGCATACAGAATGTTTTATTGTTGACACTAAATGTTTGTGTGTGTTGTTGGGGGGGGAGGGGTGCTAACTTTCCCTCCTTTGAATTCCTGAACCTGTGTATTTTTTTGTCTTTGTGTTCTTTTAATCCTAGACAAGCATACATGCATATGCATACTTCCAAAAAAATGGATCCTGTTCTATTTTTTCCTTCTCTAACTTACATATTTAGTAGAAATCCCTGCAAGTCACCTGTTATGTGTCTAACTGCTGCATAATACTCTGTGGTATGAATGTATCCAAGTTAATTTAACAAAGGGCATTTGCTTTGTTTCCATTTTCTTCCCACTAATAAAGTGTTCAGTAAACATCCTGGTATAATTCTTAGGTGCTGATGCTTTTATTTCTGTAGGAGAGAGTTCCAGTTGTGAGGTTATTGCTGCAAAGGATGTCTACATCTTAAATTTTAATAGATATTGCCATATAGCTTTCCAAAAAGGCTGTGGCAATTCACATTCCATCATTGGTGTTTGAGAGTGCCCCTTTTTCTACCTGCAGTAGGTATTATTATTTTTTCAATAAGATGGGTGAAAAATGAAAAATGATTTCTCCTTGTTACTTTAATTTTCATCTCCCTGACCACTCTTTGCAATAGAGCTTTTTTTTTTTTCCCCATTTGGTAAATGTTTACTGAGCACTTTACTTGAGCCAGGCACTGTGAAGTGAACAAATTATAGTCAAACAATTACCAAACAGGATCGACCCTTAGCACTCACTCTTAAGGGATGGTCCTAAGATGGCTGAATCCCCAAAGTCCTGAATACTACCACAGCATATATTTTACCACAACTGAAAGACTTAACTGGCCCCCTCAGACCCTTAATGACTCCATGTGTATGGCTAAAGACATTTATAAAGCTTTTTTTTTTGGCACAGAGCTTGTCTGTCTTAAATATTTGTTCACTTCCATCTCTAACATTAATAGTTATATTTCTCTTTGGGCCATGTTTTTTAAAACAACAAAATTTTTAATCACTTCATGAGTGGCTGAAATAGTATGCCTGTTTCTTTGTTTTTTGTTTTTAATTTGGATCATAACCTATTAGTTATGAAATCTCTTCAGAGGTTACAGACGACTTAAAGAAGAGAGTGGGGAGAATAGAATAATAGTAATAATCAAAGTGCATCTCATACAGGCTAAGTATTTTTGCTTATTTGTATAAGTGTGTACTAGGTGGTGATATAAACAGTAGCTATTACTGTGGGTCACAGTCAAAAAAGTTTTGAGAAACACTGATGCAACAAGGAAGAAGAAACAAGTTCTGTTAAGCTACAACTCCTGGGTGCTCAGTGGGGACCCTCAACAGCAGAATTCCCCCTGCATACCAATCTTGTGGCATACATGTTTCATATTAATGCCTCAACACAAGTGCAAATATGTGTGTGTCCCAAATTTGGGGTGGGGGAGGGAATTTTACTCATGAATGGCCAAACTTCTCAGATTATAAACCTCTGAATATCAGAGATCTACGTACGTACAGTGTACTGTGGGCTTTACAGAGGTGAATACAGAAGAGCACAGAAGTGCAGTGGCTTATTCACACGACTTGTAATGGGTAGAGTGGCGGGCAGCTTCTCAGAGGAGGTGATGGGAGAGTGTTTAGGAGTAATTAGGAGTTATATGAAAAAAGAGAGAGATTCTGTTCTAGCAAGATGTAATAGGTACACAAGGGACAGAGATTCCAGAGTCAGTGGATTCTGGCAACAACAAATAATTGGTTATAGCAGTTATAATTGGTGTAATATTTGGTGAGAGAATGGTGAGACGGGATTGGAATATTTGGCAGCATCCAGACTATGGTCTGTTTTGCTGTGCTAAGGTACTCGAATTTTTTAATCTGTCACAAAAGAAAGTAGCGTTGGTCTTATTATAGCAGTTGACAGTCATGATGTACTACAAAGATTACCCATGAATCCTTAAATTCTTTATTAGTATAGTTTATTGTAGGAATGCTAATTTAGTTTTCTATAGTATTTACAACTTTAATAATAAGAGCAGTAGACCAATTTATATTTTGAAAAATATTGCTACAAAATATCAGTAATATGTCCTCTTAATTTTATTTTCTACTAAGCGCTTTCTTAGTGTTTAAACTTTTCATTTTTAGTGAGCCAGTATGCCTTTGTTGAATTGGACTGGCTGCCAGAGAAGAACGATTGATGACGTTTGGTGGCTTAGCCCTTGTGTATTTTGGTTTTATTATACAAACATTGTTGCCTCTGTCTTAATTAACTGTTCTTTTCATATCTCATCTTACGGGCTCCTGGAGGTTATAATGTCCTAAACTTTATTGATAAATTGCTAAAAAACTCTTTGAAAAACAAATTTAAAAATTGACCTGCATGTGTAACAGATGCTTTATACAGCTTTGTAAATTAGTTATGTTTTCCCCAAGATAATGTTTGATAATTTTTTTTTTTTTAAATCCCAGTTTATTAGCAATGGAAAGAAGACCCCTTTGGTAGGATATGTTGTTCCCTTTGAGATCTCATCTTGTTCTTTTAAGGATAGATTTAGTGTGTTCCTCGTTGCTTTAATTATGGAAAATACTGGGACATTAAAATTTGATTTTTCTTATGTAGCAGTTTACAAATTTCTTATTTAAAGAGAGCTTGATAATAGATACTACCATCATTCCCACCTCTCTTTTCCTTATAAAACAAGATACGTAAACTTTCTTGTACTGTGCTTCCTTGTTATTAGGATGATGAATGAATTAGTTATTTATTGCTGGGTAACAAATTACTCCAAAATTTAGCAGTTTAAAACAACAGACATTTGTTATCTCACAGTTTCTGTGGTTTAGGATTCCAGGCGCAGGGGCTCCTGGGTCTTCTGCCCAGGGCCTCCCATAAGGCAGCATTCCGGGTGTTGGCTGTGGCTACAGTCATCTCAAGGCTGGAGGGTGGAAATCGACTTCCCAGCTTGCTCAGTGTGGGGATTAGCAGGAGACATATCCTTGCAGGCTATTGGGCCAGAGGCTGCCCTCAGTTCTTGCCACGTGGGCCTCTGTAGGGCAGCTTATCACATCTGGCTTCCATCAGGTTGATCTAGAGAGGGTGAAAAAAGAGGGAAGACAGCGTCTTTGTAACCTAATCTCAGGAGTGACATGCTGTCACTTTAGTCGTGTTCTCTTCGTCAGAAGCAAGTCACTATGTCCAGCTCACACTCAAGGGGCAGGGATTGCACAACGGCATGAGTACCAGGCAGAGGAATCCCTGGGAGCTATCTTGGAAGCTGCCTACAACTCACATGTGTTTCTTTTTCATTATCTATGTCTCATGTATTTAAGTCTTTCCCCTGTATTTGGTTTGTAAACCTCTTGAGAAAAATAACCTTTCTGTCCCTGTTATGATACCTAGCCTAATGCCTACAGATAACCTCCTGATGCTCACTGTTTCTTGAATTAAACATGTGAAGAGTTCTTCTGTATAGGGATATGTGGGTGCATACGTGTGTGTGTGCACATTTGTGTACATGTGAACAACTGTTATGTTACTTTTTGCCAAATGAGTTTAGTAACTTAAATAAAAAAACTGCGTCTTTTACATGTTTCATGTTTTCTTATCTCAGTATAGCAACATTCTCATTTTAACACGACTCAATTCCACTTTACAATTATTTCTGTTAAAATTTAGTACATAGCCTGGCCCGTAGTAGTTGACCCATTCAAATTTGTTAAATGAACTCGTAAAATAGTTTACTTTTTAGAATTTTATTATGAAAAATAAAGCATATTCAAGCATATACAAAAATAGAATAA